AAGATCGTAATCCCTCGACGACCCTTCGATGCTACCTTCGGTAAACGATCTTAGTCCCTTACGACAAATTGCTAAAGCGTCCTACGAGTTGCCTTTATGACTGTACAATGACCCATGCTTGTCCCTCAAAACATCCAACGATAGGGCTTTCTACTAACTAATGGTAGGATAACACTATCTAAAAGAATAGAAAAATAACACGAAAGACTTTTGAGTAGGTAGATAGCTCATAGTCGCTTGCTCACAAACAAAAACATTTTTCACACAAAACACTTCTTTTCAGAAATATTTTCAAAACAAACACTTTGTATGCGTTCTCAATAATACAGGAATCATTACAAAGTTTGTGCACTTAGGAATTTTCAAAAATATTTTCAAACACATTCACAAAGCATTTTCAAAAGTGAGCTAGCGATTAAGAGCACGTAGATAACTACAGATGAAAAGGGTGCTAACACCTTCCCTTTTCATAACCTACCCTCCTAACTCAGAAAAATTCTCAAATGTCTTTCATGTTCTTTTCACCCTTTCCTTTATTAGATAAAAGAAAAGTGGGTGGCGACTCTTACTATCCGAAACATTTGTGATAAAATGTAAAACCAAAAGTCAGTTCTCCCACCGTATTACATCGGGGCTCATAAATAAATTTTGCCTATATGAGGTCTTTTGCAGCTTTTTCAGCAGCCTACGCTTTTTCAGGAGACTGCCCACGTCTACATTGTACTACTTCCCTAGCGGTTGGGTCCACAATAAGTTGGTGACAGGCAACCTCAGGGTCGAGTCTGGGCATCTCCACAACGCTTCATGGGAATAGGTCAACATTCTCCCTCAAGCAGGCTTTGAATTGCTTCCTCTCCAAGTCGGGGATCCCAACATCGATCTCCACGCCTTTTTTCGAGTCTTCACCGAGGGAGAAGAACTTGAAGTCTCCGCCTGGGACAGGTCGAAGATGATCTTGTTCGCCATTGGGGGCCTCGACTCTTTCTTTGTCAAAGCGGGTGTCAAGTGCAATGGAGTCGAGCTTTGGTGGAGCTTATTGTTCTTCGACTCGAGCAGGTTTGTCTGCCGAGGTAGCCACTATTGTCGATGTGGTTGCTCTCTTAGTAGGTCGTGCCCCAGTGTTGACCATGTTTTTCCCTTTGGAAGTTGCGTTGAAACATATCCTAGAAGATGAGATGTCCCCATGGATGGTGGTGACACAGACCCTCTTAGTATAGAACTTCATCTTTAAATGCACCGTGGAGGATACAGATGTCAGCTCGGCCAGTGTTGGTCTCCCTAGGATGCTGTTGTAGAGAGACGAGAAATCGATCACCAGAAACCGCACTTTGACCTGTCAGGATGCAGTTTCTTCCCCGAATGTGACAAACAGCTTGACGTAGCCCCACGGCTTAGAGGTCGAACTATTAAATCCTTGCAGGTCGGACCCCATGTATGGTGACATGTGGGTACCGTTGAGCTGCAAGGTGAGGAATAAGTGGATATAAATGAAATTGATGGAACTCCCTTTGTCGACCAGGATGTGATGTACATCAAAGTTGGCCATCTTTGCCTTCACCGACAGAGGAATGCTGGAGTTGGGGGCTCTGCCTGGAAGCTCCTCGAGATAGAAGGTGATCAGCTCAAATTTTCCCTTGAATCTTTCAAGGGTTACCGCCTGTATTGGGGTCGTGTCCACCATCTCATTGAGTTTCCTCTTTGTTGAATTCACTGAAATGTCAGTGAATCCCACGCCAGATATGACCATGGCAAAGAGGAACTTCTACCATATGATGTGGGTGAACAAAGGCTTGTCGTCTTCAAGACTATCGGGGATGTGGAAGTCCTCGGGCCATGAGATGCAGAAGGCTACCTGGAGGGGGACAGATTCATCGGATGGTCAGGTACCCTCCTCAATTTCTTTAACCTCGCGGGTATCCCAACGAGGGGCGTCGTTCTACTTATATTGCCCGAGTCTCCCTACCTTGACGAGAGTCTCAATGGCGTCCTTCAGGTGGACGCAGTCTTTGGTCAGGTGACCGTGGCTTCGGTAGTATTGACAGTATTTTATTCTGTCGGCCCTGAGCTTTGCAGGGGCGGGTCGAGGACGCCTGACCCTGCCGTCCTTGAACTCATTATTGGAGCACTCTATAAGGATACGCTCGCAGGAAGCGGTTAGAGAGGTGTACTCGGTGAACCGCTCGACTGATCCTCTGTGCTTACGGGGGTCGCGAGGTCGCGAGGTCTCTCTTCTCTTCTCTTTTTCCATGTTCATTGAAAGGGCCCGCGTCATTATACCGTGGGAAGTTAGTTAGTCCGCGGTTCCTCGAATCACGAGCGTTATTGGTGGCCTCTTTTTCCTCGTAGTCCATGTACGCCCGAAATTTTTCGAGGAGTGCATCAAAAGACCTGAGGGGATTCAATGCAATGACCTTTCTAAATTCAGTGCCTGAAAAAAGTCCCCTCTCGAGCAAGTATCTCTTCATGTGATCGGCGCAGTGGACCTGAATGGACTCGCGGTTGAATCAATCAATTTATTCTCTAAGGATCTTATTGCTCCTCTGGACGATTTCCTCGAGGACGGCCTCAGTCTTCGGGTGCCAACGAGATGCAGTGAAGATGCTGATGAATTGGTTCTTCAAATTCCTCCATAAGATGATTGACCCGGGGGGTAGGTTCTTATACCAGTCCATGGTCGTTTTCCTCAGCATCGTGAGGAACAATTTTCACTTAATGGGCCCCCCAATATTGTGATATTGAAGCATGGCTTCGAAGTCATTGATGTGGTCGATGGGGTCAGCAATGCTGTCATATTTCTTAAGAAACAGAGGCTTCTCCATCCCTTTAGGAATATGGGCCTCCATGATGGCCTGGGACAGCGGACCACGGGGGTCGTCTTCGTCGCTTCTTTCTGGGGAGCGAGATAGAGATCGGTAGTAGCGGTGATCTCTGTTTCGATTTTGGTCCCATAGAGGGTTCCTCGGTCGGGACTTCTTCTCTTTTGCGCCCTTGTTTCTTTTATGTTCAGGGGATCATCACTCTTTGCACAGGAAGTGTGGCTGCGTTTCTTGACAACTTTGGGATAGGTCCTCTCCAATGCAGGACCTTGCCCAGTTCGGCAGGGAGAAGGGCTTCAAGATTCATTATGTCTATATCTCCACAAGGAGATCGGGAGCGGTCCTCATTCCAGGGAGGAGAAGTTCAAGAATCAGGTCTTCGATTCCTTCTGGGGGACCGACGAGTCTGTTCCAGCATCATCAGGCGCTCACCTTATGCGAAGATCATGTATTTTGTCTGGTTGGTCGTCGGGAACAAGGCTCTGGTTATAGTGTCAGCATTTTCGAGAACGGGGTTCTCCTGATACGCGGTTGGCTCGTAACTCTTCCGAGGATGGTGGTCATCGTTGCATGGTTGCGAGCGGGTGAAGGAAGATGTGGTCACCCTGTCTCGAGTGTCTTGCTCGGGGAAGAAACATTGTTGTTGTTGCTTGCATCGGCAAAGTGAACGTTCTGGCCATTGTTGAAAGCTTAGTCGGCCATGATAACTTGAAGGTTGAAGATGTTGCTTTGGTCTTACGTGAACGAAATACGGGGAAACCTAATCCCCACAGTCGGCGCCGCTGATCGTACCTGATCAGAAGAGATTATTAAGGCCCATAAGCTTCAAGTCAGGCAGAGGTTGAATGTGAAGTGGGGGTACCTGCAAGACACTCTGGTGACAAAGTAAGGTGTAGAGTAAGTGCAAGTAGAGTGTGAAAGTCTGAATGAATGAATGAATGATTGTCCGACCCTTTCAAGTAAGAGGGTATTTATAGCCCCCAACATTGGGCCAAGGTCTCCATATTGGGCTGACAGGGCAGACTCAAAATGAAGACTGTCAGGATCTATGTGAGTAGTGGAGACTACCACGTGGTCTCCCTCCTGAGTGGACTGCTTTGAATTACTAGGAGGACGTGGTTGCGGTATTTATGGGATCAAGATGACTCTGTGATATTCGAAGGCGTGGACGTCTGCCCTACGAAGAGGATGTCTGTCAAGACCTCCTGGGAGCCGTTAACTCTCCTCGACAGCTCTATGGCGAGGAAGGCCCAGGGGCATGTCCTTCGCCTGCAGCATGATTGGATTGGACCTTGTATGTTGTTTAGGCCAAACGTAGGCCTAGTCTAGAATACTTATCATCTAGTTTTATTCTTCTTGAATTGAGCAAGAAGTGTATGTTCTATTTCTTTTCAATTGTTTCTTTCAATGACCTTTAATTCATAAGCCATGATTCTTCTTTCTTTCCCAATTTACTTTTTCTTTCTTCTTCCATTGAAATATCTGCGCAGAGTCATCTTGTAATTAAGGTTGGTTGAATCACTCAAGTGAAAAGTAAATAATAAGAAATTTCGACCGTATTGATTTAATCTTATTCATCAAAATTGATTTAGAGTTTTCCATAAATTTGATGTAATTTCCAACAATCTTTATCACTTCTAAAAGAAAATCAAATTCCCTTGAAACTAGGGATGACATCCCTACTCGATACATATAAATTCAAAGATACCATTATGTTTAAATTAAAACAACCTAATACAATTACTTGCTAATTAAATAACTATAAACCAAAAGAATAAATGTAGAGAAAAACTTGTAATGAATTACGAGTAAAATACTGCATTTCATTACAAAAACATATACCACGCCTTATATTTGTGTTTACATCTAACAAAATGGTTTACCTTTCTAGCAAGTAAACAAGTAAAACATAGTTAGTTAGAGTAACTAATTTCTAACTTATCTAACAAACTTATAACCTCCTCAACTAACTAACAACTAACTTACAACTAAATGTTAACTAATTTATTATTTTTTATATTTAATTGATTATATAATTATAAATTGACACACTAGTATAAAAGGAGGGAGTGGGTCCCTCTTGAGTCTCCCCCGTTGTTTTCCATTTCTGTGTGCGTGGTGGTGAAGTTTGAAATTCGTTCGATCGCACGCTACACAGAGACACATCAAGAATCTTGACTCAAGATGACGCGGGGAAAGCAGAAAATCGAAGCGCAGAAGCGTAACGCAGAGAAGAATCAGAAATCAAAAGGCTCTCAGATTGAAGCCAGAGCCGAAGGTCTCAAAATCACATGCCCAATCTGCAAGGTTTTTCGTTTTTCCCCCTTTCTTGTGTTCTTCAGTAATGTTATGCCATCGAATTAACCGATCTAGTTTCTGTTTATTCGTAATTTCAATTTTGATTGAATGAGAATTTGTTGTTTCGATTGTTGGCTTTGTTGATGCAAGTGTTGCTAGAGTTAGGGTTTATATGGTTCAATTATTGATTTGTTAATTATAGTTAGGGTTTATATGTATCTTTTTTATGTATAACTGAAATGAATCATTGATCGAATGAGATGCATAAACCAAAAGTCGAAAAATCGTTAGTTTTGTAAAATGGGTTATGTTTGGTGTTAGGGTCGCAATCGAATGTTAGCTGAATGAAATGTTTTGTATTTTGTAACTTTTTGTTGAGGATTCGGTTAGTTGTGTTGACGAGAAAATACAGTTTTTTTTTACAGATTATGGCGTTGAAGGTGTGATTATTGCTATTGTTCTTTCTAATTTTTTATGTTTTTGCTGACAAATATGGCTTAGATCCAAATCTTTATTGTTGTAATATGCAGATATTTAGCATTCTTTATTGTTGTAATATGCAGATATTTAGCATTCTTTATTAGCACTGGTTGCTGAATTCTTTCTAAATTGTAACTTTGTTGTCTTCTTAGAGTGAAAACCCCATCAAATCTCAACTGTCTTCTTTATTTGTTGGAAACATAAAGGTTGAGGTATAAGGAATTGAAAACTAATACTTTGATACAGGTTAAAGATTATACTTTGTAGAGAATTTTCTGTATGCAACTGTCTCTTTTAGATGCTATGTTGTGAAAACATGACTGTGTATAATGTCTGCATGTCTAGGTTTTGGGTCATGAGCATAGCTGCACATGTAATGTGTATTCGCTCTAAAGAATTTTACACACACATGTTTACACAGAAACGAGTTAGTGTTTTGATGCATTCCTCTATGCCTCAATCGATAAATTTTGTAATTAGGCGGTGTTTTATGAAATAAATATTTTATGCCCAAATAGATCACACTCATAGAAAGTCGATCAGATCGAGGGTAGTCAAATCGTTAGAGGTGGAGGAAGACTTAGAGAAACTACTAAGAAAAACTTGAAGATTAATGAGTTGGATAGAGATATAATATATATGCCAGAACATTATGACTTTGTTTGATCTATGTAGCTGACACTACTTAGTGGGGTAAGACTTGATTGTTGTTGTAGACCGCATTCATAAGAATAAGATTCTTTGCAGAGTTTCTAATATATGTTTGATTGTTAACTTTCATCACTTATGCTTGGTAAACATTTTTTCCCGCTTTTACCAAACATTTATTTCAGATTAAAACATTCCTAATACCAAATAACACTCCTTTCTGTAAAGTAATTTCATTTCATGTTCTACAAGTTACTAATCATGCTTAAATTGATTGGTCAAATAACAATACTTTACTGTGTTTGTCAGGTGTCTTGTACATGCAGTGTTTTTGAATATCGAAAGGATGGCTCTTACTATCACAGTTTTTACAATTTGACTTCTGAAATGTTGTTTTGATAAAACTAAGTAACAGAAAATTTTCTAATGGCATTGGAGATTTAAACAACCTTAATGTCCTTAAGTGAATTACAACAACAAAAGAAATGAACATTCCACCTTATTAGCATGATCATAATATGTTATAGAACCATTTGTGGAGATGTTTTGCAAGAACCTTGTGAGAACTTTTATGTATGTAACAGGATTCTTAATGCTGTAGATGCTCTTTCTTTTTCAGGTCCAACTTGCAAATCCAAACCAACTTGCTGATCATTATGCCTCAAAACATCCAAAGGAGAAGCCTCCAGGAGAATCAAGCTAGTACAAAAGTTCCTTAGAGCAAATAGTACAAAAGTTCCAAAACAAAATTTGCTCTTAGGTGTCTCAATGTTTCTGCTTTCAAGCCAGATTGCAACATGTTTAGTATTTTTTTTTAATGTGCATTACTGTAAGATACTTCTGTCGTTATGAGAATATTATCTGGATGTATCAGTGCGTTCCAACTTACAAGAGTCTGCAACAAAACATGAAATATCATCCCTTTGCACCGCCTCTTAAGGAACTGCAAAATGAAAATATTATGGTCATGCTAAAAAGTGGAATGTTCATTTTTTTGTTTGTTGTAATTCACTTAAGGGCATTGAGGTTGTTTAAATCCTTTTCCCCTTATGCCCTCATTCCCTCCCTATATGTGACATAATGAATCCTTGGAATAATACTCCTTTGCATAATTCAAACCATAACACTCTTCTTCCTTGAACATTCTTAGTAGGTTTTAGAATAAGTCTTAACTCATTTTTATAAAACTTGTAATTTGAGGGGTGTTACCTTCTATAAATTTGGGTTTAAACTTTTTTTGATACGTAGACTTTGAATTTTTCCTAATATTTTTAACAATTGATTACTAACTTTTTCCATTCCAATAAAAGAAGAAATTCTTTCAGGAACTACATTGCTAATACATTTAAATTCTGACACCCCCTTGGTTCAAGTTCTTGTTTGTCTTGGATTGGTCTAATTTGAGGCTTAATTTGTTGTTTGGTTTTTGTTACATTATCATGGATTCATGGTTTAATAAATGAGAATGTTTACTTCAAAACCATGTTTGGACTGTAATGTCACATGCTACAAGAATTTGTTTTCTATTTTATAGCTTTTTTCTTACACTTGCCAAACTTGCGGGCACTTTTGTATTTAATTCAAAGATGAGAAACTTACACTTGACACAGTCCTTGGTTTCACGTGTTTGTTTTGCTACTTTCTTCATCCCAATTGGATTCATATATAATTAAAGGTTGAAAATTCAAATATAATGGCCTATAAAGTTAAATCGTGTATGGCTCTTAAAATAAGTTGAGTTAAACACTCACTTGCATGAGTATCTTTTTCTAAATTATTGAGAGTTAAAAATTTATACTGTGTACATGGCTCTTAAAGGAAATTGAGTTAAACACTCACTTGTATGCTTATCTTTTTCTAAATTATTCATAACTAATAATTTGCACCTTGTGTATGCTTCTTAAAGGAAATTGAGTTAATCACTCACTTGTATGTTCAACGTTTTCGAAAGTATTCAAAGCTAATAAATAAAATTACACCGTGTATGGCTCTTAAAGGAAATTGAGTTAAGCACTCACTTATATGCTTATCCTTTTCTAAATTATTCACACCTAATAATTTGCACTGTGTATGGCTCTTAAAGTAAATTGAGTTAAACACTCACTTGTATGCTTATCTTTTTCTAAATTATTCATAACTAATAATTTGCACCATGTATGACTCAAAGGAAATTGAATTAAATACTCACTTGTATGCTTATCTTTTTTTAAATTATCATAGCTAATAATTTGCGCCGTATGTATAACTTTTAAAGGAAATTGAGTTTTTTTTTTTTTGGCAGGAAAGGAAACTGAGTTAAACACTCACTTTATACTTAACTTTTTCTAAATTATTCATAATAATTTGTATGGTTTCTGCAATACCGTGCCCTTAATTTGTGTTTCAATTGCAATTACAAGTGGTCCTCCATCTACAATTGGACTGGGAGCTCTATTTTTTTCAGTGTGTTTGTTTGACCTTTGTTAAATTTGTTGCATTTTTTTCTTTTCATATTTTTCTATAAATTAACTTCTTAGCCCCTTTCATTTCCATTCATTTATTTCTCTTCCTCCTACACTAGCTATCATAACTTCATAATACTTCTTTAGATATGTTCAATTACATAGTTTCTGGTGAACTTTTTGTCCCTAAACATGGTGGAAATGAGGTATTATGTTTGTGAGGAGACCAAACCAAAGCTTGAAATCTTCATTGTAGCAGTCGCTATCTCATGGTTTTTGATTTTGAATTTTGGTTTGGTCTTTCGCAAACACTATACTCAAGAGTCCTTTCCAGTTTCCTCACATCATATAGTCGCAAAGGGTGCTTTCCAGTTTCCTCACATCATAAAGGCACAAAGGGTGATGCAGCCATCAACTTAGAGCATCATGATAACTAGAACTTTTGCTGAATTAACAATGAGAACTAGTTTACTTACAAACTCAAATACATCAATTTAGTTCTGACTACTGACAATTCTTTCTGCTTAGGAAGATGTAGCAAGTTTAGATATTCATTGAAAGGCCTCAAAATATCTTTTTCTTCATATTTGGTTCCTCTGAGTACAAAAGGCAAATGTATAAGGTATGTACAGATATAAGAAAACCATAGAGAAACAATACATGTTTTACAACAGCATATCCCTACATATTCAATACAGAAGAAAATGTTTCCCTGTATCAACTTTCAAAAGAAAATGTTCATGTGCTATTATTTAAGTACTCTCCTTTCCAAAAATTCTCTGTAATCAAAAGCTGCTATAAAATTTAGTTCACTCTCTCAGCCAAACTTAGAATCATATAATAAATTTGAAACAACAAATAAATTAGCTATGAAGATTCAACTCATTTAGTTAGATTCATGAGTGAGCCTGTTTAAAAGAGTCGTCAACAGAGCATCCCTTCTCTCTGCCCTACTCTCTTCCCTCAGTCTTCTATGTTCTTCTCTCTCCCTCCATTCCTGTTCAATCATTAACCTCTCCCTTTCAAGCTTTTCCATTGACTGTCGCCATTCCTGTTCAAACAATTGTCTTTCATGTGCACGCCTTTCCATCATCTCCCTCCACTGCATCTCCATCCTTAGTTGCTGCTGGAAAAAATCCTTGAGCATTTCCTGAACATTACCAGTACTACTGCTTGCATTGTTTGCTCTTGAAGACTTCTCCATTGCAATTTTGCTAGCTTTCCTTTTACGTGTATTGCTTCTTGCTGGTTTCTCCTCTTCACTGTCATCTTCAACTTCCTCATCGTCTTCTGAGAATTCCTCTGAGGATCGATATCCACTTGTTCTTTTCACTCCTTTCTTTGCTTGAGCTGGACGGGTTTCAGATTCAAGAAGTAACCGTTGCATGTTATGTGCTCTTTCAGTAAAAACTGCGTGCAATTCTTCAAAAAAGGGGCATTGCTTGCCATGCTCTGGATCAGATGTCTCTTTTCCCTGCATAAATATCATCATGTGATTTTTACTTTGTAAAAAGCAAACATTTCAGTACTAAAAAGATGCCTTTTCTCTGCATTTTCAAATAAAAGAAAACTGATGCACAGTTGCATGATATTAATCCACCAACACGATTATACAAACTCACAAAATACCAAACCATACATATTAGGGGGTTTTATGCATATGCAAAGGGAAGGTCAATATACTAGCGTGTCCGTTTCAGCGAGTTGAAGGAGTTTTTTAATAAGCAAGAGTTTGTTTACTCTTTATAAGCAAATGTTAGTTATTATTATTGTTGTTGCTGCTATTATGTTATCTTAATAGCTAGGGTTTGAATCTTGCACTTTCTTCTCAAACTTCTTCAGATGTCTCAACTCAACCACTTGAGCTACACATAGGGACGTAGGAGCTATATTGGTGAGCTTCAAGTTTCAAGCATTGAGATTTCTGCACATGACCCATAGTTGGAAGGGGTTTCTTGAACTTTAGCCCAAAAACTAAAAAAAAAACACCATCCAACCAAATCATATCATGACTTTCATGTATATAAACCTAATCCAATATTATGGTCCCCAGTCTCCACTTGTTAATCCCCACACATGTCGCATCATACATTTCATTATTTCTGAACTAGTCAAAATGGTAATAAAAACAAATGTTGGATAGAAATAAAGGTAGATAGATATAATAGATATATTATGGCTTCTTTTGCATAAGAAGCAAACTGAACATCAAAAACAAAAACAAAATGAGATACCAGTACCATAATATAAAAGGAAATCTAAAGGTAACAACAAATTTTGATTGAACATTTTTTTCTGTACAAAATTTCCTATCATAAAACATTAATATTGGTTATAACATTATTATATAACATAACATAGATATTTTAACATTGAAACAAGTAAATTAAATTAAGACCACCATTATGCATAAAAGACTTTTCAGCTAGCATCCGATAATGAGAATGCCCTTGGTTGGTAGCTTCCAAATTAAGATCATAAGGTTCTAAAACAAGGTATGTGAAAAACCTTATGGTTCGAAACATTGAAAACCATAAGTATCTATGTTATGGTTTTAAAAAGAGGTATGCAAAAAATGGCCACGACAAAACGGTATCGGCAGAAGCGTTGCCATTTTTTCCACCAGTTTTAACATAGTGAACAAATTCATGGAAACAACGGCGACAAAACGTTACACCATAACAAAAAGCCAATACAACCGCGTTAAAATGTTGTTCCCAAAAATTAGACCAAGAATCTTGTTTTATGGATAAAAATTACATTTTTACTAACGTTATTTTCACTTAACTCTTCCCCTAGTTCACATTTGTCATTGAAGTCTCTTTAACTCTCGCTCTGATTATCTCTCATCTCTTCTAATTCTCTATGTGCTTGCTTCTACATTCCTACTTTGAATGTTTTGTTCTCTTCTAATTCTCTATGTGCTTGCTTCTACATTCCTACTTTGAATGCTTTGTTCTCTTCTAATTCTCTATGTGCTAGCTTCTACATTCCTACTTTGAATGTTTTGTGGAATATGTGATACTTAAGGTTGACAAAATCTCGATCTAGATCTTAAAATCTTACAATTTTGCAATCTCACTCACCTCTAAGGATTCCGATCTCAAGTAGAATAGTATGTTGTAAGCCAGATTGTGAAAAAAATTTGTAAAACCATTGATTTTGTGCAATCTTGTGAAAAAAAATCGTAACACTATTGATGATGTGCAATCTTGTGAAAAAAAATCATAAAACATTGATTTTGTGCAATCTTGGCCATGTCCAGCCATGATCACTCGTTTTCAGGCCAACACCATTACAAGCCGAGAAGGATGACAAGATGTTGAGGCGCAACAATTACGGGTTGACAGAGACCATTTTTCCACGAACACACTTGCATACCAAAATATCATACATAAAAACTTCAAATATATAGTAAGTATTATTTTTGGTTTTAGTATATCTTACGATTTTTGTGACGATCTTATGTTTTACAATTTGCTACCTCCTCTTGATCTTACAAAAATCATCAGTAAGGATCTTTCGATCTTAATTAGGATCTTATATGTTCTAGACTGGGCCCGCGGCTGACCCACTATAGGACATGGCCCAGTCTAGCACCATCTCAAGAAAGGCCCAACGTTGTGGCCCAAGTAGTCAC